GCTGTACTTAATGTCTTCAGAATTGTTGCCCTGTAATTTTCCTACCAGTTTCTTCTACTGTTTGGTCACCACTTAATGAAAATAGAGAGGTATTTAAAATTCCAGTTTTATTTTTTGCCAGTTCAGTCAGTAATACCTTCCCCACACTTAGTTTGGTAGGTCAGTTTGAATCTTCCTTAAAAGGCTAAGACTTAAATGATGGTAGTATTCTGAACTGAATCACAGTAGAAGCAGTGCCTTGTTACAGGGTCATTTTGGTCCTGTGTCCCAACTGATGTCTGCTCCATTTCTCCTTGGTCATTGATGCTGCCTTTTGATGCCAGCAATCTTATTAAGTCATGGAAGATCCCATCCACTTTTGTCTTTCTTTCACAAGTACTCAGGAGATAGGAAGAGGACCTTAGCTTTGACAGCACTCCTCCATGCTTGAGAGAGTCTGAATTCTCCTCATCCTTCATATTCTCCATTTGTGTCTCAGTGCATTTGTCTTTCAGGGTTGATGACTTGCCCAGTAGGAGCAGTAGCCAGCCACTGAGTTGGCCTGTTGAATTTATCTTTCTTTGCTCACTGGCCCTAATTTTGGTCTAACAATAAAGATGTCATACATGACTCCCTGAGATCAGAACCTTCTGGCCTCCTGGGGGTTGCCTGGCTCTTTAAAACTTGAGCCAAACCTAGAAAACGAAATGGAAAGGATTCTGGAGTTATTTGATCCATCTCTCCGCTTCACTAAACAGGAGCATTTGTGCTGCTACTCCTAAATTAGCCCTTGTAGCTGCCTCTTTGGAGGCTCTATGCCTCCAGTAAAGGAGCTTCCCTTCCTTTCCCTTCCCCAGGAACAGGCATCTCCTTGTTTGTGGGTCTTGGCCTGGGGAGCCCAGGTGCCATGAGACCTGTCTGACTTGTGCTCCAGGAAAATGGCAGGTAATTCTGTCCCTGGGAAATGGATTTGGGGTTTTTATTTTGTAATATAAAACCTCCTACCTAAGTGTATGCCCTAGACTGCACCAGGTTTTCCCCTAAGTTTCCTGTCATAGCTCGTGTTGAATGCATACTACATTGTGTCTACAGCACCGTAGTGACCTCTGTTTCCTCCTCAGTTACATAGATACAGAACAGTATGAAGAAGCAGTACGGGATTATGAAAAAGTATATCAGACAGAGAAAACGAAAGGTAAAGAAATTCAGGGTGGTTGCTTGGGGGGAGGGGAACAGTTAGGTGTTCTCCATTATCATCTAGACATAGCTGCGGTTTGGTGTCAGGGTTAGTGATGGTGCACATGAGCACCAATCTGGGATTTTGCTGAACTGTTAGACTGGGAGACAGGGCACCTGTATGCTAATCCTGGCTCCACTCCAACTTGGAAGTTGCCTTATCTTTCTGGGCCTCAGCTTTTGCATATGAACAAGGGAAAAGATAATGTCAACCCCTCTTTTCCCAGGATGGCATGTGGACAAATAGAATAGGTATGAATGTGCTCTGAGTTCTTTGGAACAAAGTTCCCTAAAAGCCCGTGGCTTAGTTATTGTAACTGATTCCAGGCAAGTTAAGCAGGGTTCCAGTGTTGTGAACCAGAGTCAAGGTTATCCACTAATTCTTCTTGTCGCCTTCCAGAACACAAGCAGCTCCTGAAAAATGCACAGCTGGAACTAAAGAAGAGCAAGAGGAAAGATTACTACAAAATCCTAGGTGTGGACAAGAATGCATCTGAGGATGAAATCAAAAAAGCCTATAGGAAGAGGGCCTTAATGCACCATCCAGGTAGGAAGAGGAAAGGGCCAGGCAGGTGCCTGGGGGGAGCCAAAGGAAGGCGAGTCTCCTGTGACTTTTACATAACCACAATTTGTGTCCTTTAAATTTGGTCAAACCTCAGATTATAACATCAGGTGTGTTTTCTCAAGCCTTATTCCAATAATGCTTTTATTCCTCTTCCCACCTGCTCCCCATCTTAGATCGACACAGTGGAGCCAGTGCTGAAGTCCAAAAGGAAGAAGAGAAGAAGTTCAAAGAAGTTGGTGAAGCCTTCACTATCCTCTCTGACCCCAAGAAAAAGACTCGCTATGACAGTGGGCAAGACCTGGATGAGGAGGGCATGAACATGGGTGGTGAGTCTGTGTGAGCTTTGAGCATATTGCCAGTAGGTCAGACAGAACGGCATCAAATCTCATTGGGGGAGGGGAGGAGAGAGAGAGAGAGAGTGCGTGTGTGTGTGGATCCTGTACTTAACAACAGGAAAGCAAAAGAAATTGGAGGAGGCTGTTCCTAGAGTTTATAGTGAGATGAAGCACATGGGGAAGTCCTTGTATTTATAAAGCAGCTGCAGTGAGTGAATATTTATTTTCGTGTACATTAATATACACATATACACATACATATTTATATTCAGGTTTGGAACAAGATGGAGGAGAGAAGCAGAGGCGGGGATGGCATTTTAGCTTGCGTCTGTATCTGTCTTCAGTGTATTGTGATCTATTTGGGTATAGAGAGATATGATACTAGGAGGTCATAGAAAACTTTCTCTAAGCTCTTCTGACTCCTTCTTACCTTTCTACTCCTTTAATATAATTTGCCCTGTCCTTCCAGATTTTGATGCCAACAACATCTTCAAGGCATTCTTTGGTGGTCCAGGGGGTTTCAGCTTTGAAGGTAAGTTTGACTGCTGCTGGGAAATCAGGGTGGGCGTAAAGGGCTGTCTTCTCCCTTGATTTAAGTCGTTGTAACATCTCCCACTTTGTTCATGGGTTTGAGGTCAGTGGGTGTGGGGCAAATAGAGCAGACTCCCTCCTGGCAGAAATTGCTACCTTTGTAGCTAAGTCAGGAGGACTATTTCAGATGTCAGGGCTGCTAGGACCACCTCTGCCTCAGTGCCAAGAGGACTTCTCCAAGAACACTTCTGGGGAAGTAGATCATCTTCCCTGGGCCCACAGGAGCTGGTGGTGGTGGTTGTCCCAGATGTTAACCTCTATTCAGAGCTAGAGGGTTACTCCCCCAAGTCATTCCAGGGGACTGTGCCCTAGCTGAGGAGCTGATCTGAACTCCAGCCAGAGAACTAACAAAGCAATGTTCCTTTTCCCTTCCAGCATCAGGTCCAGGGAATTTCTTTTTCCAGTTTGGCTAAAAGAAGGGGGAATAAAACCAACCAACTCAGAACCCAGAGAATGCAGATGTGCTCGTTTTAATTTTGAATATGGACATAATTAGACTCCTCCCTTCATCATGTCTCCTTGTACTTAGAGCAGTTTCATTTTCTCAGTTGGATACCTCTGTGTCTGTGAGTGGGGGTGGAGGACGGGGAACCAGCGCTGAAGATGGGGGTGGGGTAGGGAAAGGGGTGGGAGGAGGGGAGGAAGCTTGTGAATTTTTGTTTTACTGTTTAACTTTATTAAAAAATTAAAAAACACATGAGAAGAATAAAATGATCTGACACTTTCTGGTCCCTCAAGCTGGCAGCTGCATTATCTGTTGTTGCAAAGTCGGGAACCAGAACTGACCCCTGTCCTTACCCAGTAGCTCTTCTCCTGATCTCTAGGTAGGGATGGCAGGCTGCTCCTGGATTCCCCATTAATCTCATGGTGGCCTATAAGTGAATCAATCTGAATGACAGTTGTTTTATTCTGTGGACACATTGGCTTCATCTTCCAGGCCATACATGTGCTTAGTAGGTCTCTAGGTGTAGTTGGGCTAGTTGTGGAGGGCATGGCTTCTCCTGGCCCTTCTAGTTGATGCAGTACAGTGGCAAAGTAGAAAGAACACTGGCTCTGGAGTCAGAGAACCTGGGTTCAAATACTGTCTCAGCACTCCGTGTGATTTAACCTTCCTGTGCCTCAGTTTCCTTCTCTGTAAAATGAAAGGGTTGGACTAGAGAACCTCAGGGGTCCCTTCAGTGTTAGATGTAAGATCCTATGATCTATCTGTAGAGTGGCTAGAGGTCCTGCGTCAGTGGGTCTGCATTACAGCAGACAGGTTAAAGAGCCTGAGTGGGACTTGACGATTCAGTTGGCACCTGCTGCCACTTGAGGGGCTGACACAAAGATTTCTGAAGTCCTTGTTTCCCACACATGTCCGTTCTTACAGGGTCGGAGAGAACATTATCGGGGGAAGGCAGATGCTGTGCTTAGGCTCTGTGCGCTTGTTTGTCGTGGCCATCAGCTGCCACATTGGATTTGGTTTGGGAAGAGAAGAGATTATGGTTGGTTTGACTATCTGAGTTAGTTATCTCGGCTCCTGGGATTCTCCTGTGGAGTGCTAGACTGAGGTGGTGTCAGTCTACTCAGAACTGAATAGGCTTCCTCATGAGTAGGGTTTTGGAGTCTTGCAGCCCTGGGAAGAGGTGAGAATCATTGACTAAAAGTAATTTTTGGATGAATTGTGTCTCAATTATCCACCCCATAAACTATGGAAGTGTAGGGCTTCTATGAAGGGGAAAATGTGATGTACTTGGTGTCTTCTTGTAGCTGCTGGGCCATCACCCACCCCTGGTAGTCAGGGGTCGCAGTGGGGAAGGTCTGGGTGACAAGGAAGGGGGGGGCAGGAAGAATGGGAGCCCAATGGGTGGCTTTTAGGCCTTTGTTTTAAAGGGAGGTTTATGAAGATCTTGAGTCTTTACTCAAGTGGTGTGGTCACTGTCTGAAGTGGTGTTAACTTTGGTGTGGTCAATGATGGGTTTCTAAAGGAAATGGAAGCGTGTCCTTGAGTAGCAAGCTCTGTGGAAGGTTCCGACCAGGGTCCCTCAGAAGTCTAGATAGGCAAGGTAAATAGGGGTGGTCTCTGTGTCCATCTCTTGCCTGGGCCAGCTTGCTCTTGGTCCTGCTCTCTTATGAAAGCAAGCACTGTTCAGCTGCCCAGCTTCCTCGCAGCTGTGGCTGGCCGGCCCAGAGACAGGACCAATGGCCCCACAGACTATGGGACAAAGCCAGCCCTGATAAAGTCCTAGTGGGCAGACAGCTGCCCGAGTCCCTCACTGTGGAAGAGAGAGTAAGAAAGACAAAATGGCACATGATTAAGATTATTGAGATTTATTTCATTAACGGTCTTACAATTTGGGGGATGGGCAAAACCAGGATGTTTTAACTCAAATCCCAAGCACTTGTGTTGAGAAACAGCATAATGAGTAAGGTCCCATATTGCACAGGAGCCAGGCCAGAGTCAAAGCATGACACCAAGACAGTTATGTGAGAGAGGAAATGAAGTATGCAAAGCAGTGTTAAAAACCCCCTTAGAGAGGAAGGCAGATGGAGGGAGGCCTTCACCAGCCTAGTGGCAAGGAAGCCTGGTTGGGACAGCGAGCCCCAGCCTTCCCCATGAATATACAGCAATCCCAGCAGGCTTCCCGACCCCTTTGGGCCTGAATTTCCCTGTCTATACAGGGAAAGTACATCACTAGAGTGGGGTGAATCTCTGCCTAAGCCCCCGCCCTCCCAGACAGGGCGATCTGTTTTACTGCTGTGCACTTTCCTAATCAGTCATCAATACAGTTCTTTTAGAGTCGCCTTATTTTCCCCCTATCAGTTTCATCCTGAATGTAGAGGGGAACAGGGGAATGAAGGACTAGACTCATAGGAAGGGAAGAGTAAACACTTCCCAGAACTGTAGTAATTAACAAAGAAGGTAAGAGCCTGTGTGGGGGGCGGGGCGGGGAGGGGAGGGAGAGAAGACGGGTTTCTTGTGGAAGTGCTACATGACTTCTCTGTAGAGTACACCAAGGGAAGTGGAGTACCTTGGGACTAAAAGAACCAAGGGGTGCTGCTGCTAGAGACTGGGTGAGTAACGGGGCGGGGGGGACGGGACCCCCACAGGGTAACAAGTCCTGAGTCCTAGGACTTTGGTCCAGTCTCCCAAATGTTCCTTCTGACTTATAGCACAAGGTGTTAGGTTGGAAAGGGGCAGTTATTTTACAAGTTTTGAAAAGTTACAGGTGAGTTAATGGCATAAAAAAGTCAAAGTGGAGGGCAGTGTCTCCTACTCACCCCCACATAAGGAAAGGGGGGTGAATAGTTTGAAAGGGTAGCCCACTGTCTAGATGATGGTACAAGATGACAAGGCACCTCCCTTTCGGCTGCTGTGCGTGGCCACAGTGTGGCCTTTCCCATAGTATCCTGTGAAGATGGCCCTAAACTCTAATTTTTTGGCCAGACGCAGCATCCACTGCCCATTGCCCAAGGAATACAGCTTGCCTCGACTTAGCTCGCTCACCTCCTCTCCTTGACTTCCCCCCTTCTCTTGCCGAAGTATCTCCAGCAAGTCGATACCGGTCTGCACAGGCTGTACACCTGCTGCACAACCCAGTGTGATGTGGGCACGGCTGCCTCGGGGCAGGTTTTCAGTAGATGTCTTGTCCACGTCTGCCGGCCACAGCAGCAGCTCCTGCTCACCCAGCTCCACCCGGGCACCCATCGTCTTAGGTGTCACAAATAGTGCAGAGACAGTCAGGGTGAAGGCCTTACAGTAGGATTTCTTCACCACCTGAGGTAGGGAGAAAGAAGAACAGGTGGTTTGACAGTGGATCAATCACCATATCAGGGGCACAGGAAGTGGAAGTAGTGTTAAGGCTGGTTAAGGTAGCTTAGCAGCATGTTAGAGGGAAAGTGGAAGCCAACTTGAGATGGAGAAGTTGCTGGGGATAAAGCTGACAGTGAAAAACTTCCTATGTCTTGCTTTGAGGGTGAAAAGCTGAGCAGGCAGGGGCAGAGCATCTGTCATAGGTGTTTAACTGATGAGGCAGAAACGTGTGGAAGGGACACTTCTTCAGTTGGCATTTGACTTTCCCATGGGTTCTCATGCTTCTATATATCCACGTTGGGTGAAGGGTATTCTTAGTGGCTTCAGGAAATCTAGGCTCAGAAGATGTATTCCTAGACTTGGTTTTTAGGAGGTCTTGGTAGGGGGCAAGTCCCTGCCATATAGTCTTATCCAGCCAGTTTCCTTGGACATAAATAGCCACCAAAATGAAATGGGGAAAAGGGATTTTTTTTTAAACCCTTTCCCCTGATTTCCTTAGGTCCACTGCTTAATTTCCATTCAGCATTGGGTTGCTAGTTATCTTTGGACTTTAGGAAAAGCCCTTCCCCTCCTCCTATCCCCCACTCCCGGCCAACTCCCCGAATTAGCCCCAGCACTCACATCCTGCTGGGCATACTCATTGGCCCCATCCGCCTTCCCATAGTCACAGAACTTGGTGGTGCAGTGCAGCACCCCTGGAGGCCTCTTCACAAAGTAGGAAGCCAAGGAAATCTTCTCCTTAGATTCATCCCCAGACACAACTATGGGGAGAGGGAGGAAGGAGTGCATCAGGAAAAGAGGTTACAAAGCCCTGCCTTACAGATAACACCTCTGTCTTAGATCACTGATTTCAAAGGGGCAAGACTAATAAGGGAAATGTGACTGATTCATTTTTAATTTCCTGGGACTGAAATGTTATGCTGTTCTTTTTGAGCCATCATATCTAGCTATCTTGAGCACTCAGTAAAAGGATATTTTATATTCCTAAATCAAGTGCTTCTAACATTTTTAAAGGGCACCGGTATTGAATATTTTAATCTTTCCCCAAAATTTGGATATGCAGAAACAAAAAACCTTGTGTATCTGTAATTGGGTCCCTCTACCAAAGACCATAAAATTGTCAGAAGTGAGGGAGTGTGGGGTTGCAGCATAAGAGTTGGAGTTTGGAAGGTCCAAGTTCAAATCCTATCTCACTTATTAGTTGTGGGATCCTGGGCAAACCACTTAAGCCTCCTGAGCCTCAGTTTCCTCATCTGTAAAATGGGGATTATAATAGCTCCTATCTCAGTGTGCTGTCAGAAATCAAAATGATAATATATGTGAAACATTTTGCAGACATTATTTAACTGCATATAATTGCAGACCTATATGAATGGTAGTCTGGGATAGGCAGTGTGGACTGTGTATGCGCCTGGGCCTCCTGGCTGTTGTTGCTTTTCCTAAGTACCTTCCCTGCTCAAGTGCATAAACTCTAGGAAATAGAGTAGTGACTTGTAACATCAGCCCTCACAAAAGTAGAATCAGTTCAGTAACTACTTAATAAATTATTTTTTCACTTACTTAAAATCATGACGAGGGCTACTGGCTGTGATATAGAGTTGGTATTTACATCAATTTGAGGGTCCCTTCTCTTGGGGTTTGGTTGCTCTCCAGGCTCAATACAGATCTGGTAACTCCTCCCCACCCGATTCCTCCGTCAGTCTGGGCAGCTCCCTGCCATATGATGTTCTCATTTCCAGGTCCCTAGCCCTTAGTCCAAAGGCTTACCTTAGATTCAGGCAAGCCATTACAGACTAAGTGCTGCCCTACCCCAAAATCTAGATGTTTGGGAACACTGAGAGGTGGAGATCGAGGAAAGACAGTTTTGCAAGAGGCACTGTGACATAGTAGAAAGAATCAAAGGATATGGATTCACATCCTGCCCCTTACCATCTGAGGGTAGGGACAAGTCAGTTCCCCCTACTGGGCTTCATCTATAAAATAAGGAGGGGGCGAGTAGACTTAAGTTGCTTCTAAACTCCCTTCTAGCTCTGATTCTATAATTTTGTGTTTGGACCATCTAGATTCATCATTCTCCCCGAAATGTCCCTGGCTGTCCTGGGAATCGGGGTGTCTTTTTCTCTCTAGAACCATAAACTTCTTCTCTAAGGAGCGAAGGCACTTTCCCATCCCCTCTCTGAGAGGGACCCCTCTTGGTCTTGGCTCCCCCTCACTGATTCCTCCTCTCCAGATCTCAGGATGTTTCCCCTGTGTAGACCCAGAAAGCAGACTCAGAAATGATGTACCCCACCAGAGGCCACCCACCAAGTCAGAGGTAAGGAGATGTGCTCTGCCTCCAGGGGCTCTATCTCTGGGCTTTACTGCTCTCCCTCCTCCTGTCCCAGTGGTCTCCGGATGAGTGACTGCTCTAAATGTTTTTGTTTCTCAGTTCTCCAGATCAGCCAGGGGCTCAGTAATCCTGACTTGTTTCTAATTGCCTTCTCAGTGAATCATATGCCCTTGGTGTAGCGACTGTATTACCTGCCTAGTTTCCTCTGGCTTTGGCTTACCAGATTCTTTTGGGAAGAATAAAGGTTTGGTAGATGAGTGAATGACAGACAGAGCCATTAACAAATGAAGGAGAAATCAGGGGTGCTGGGATCCACTGTCTGAGTGGCTTCCTGAGTCTGAGGTCACAGAGAGCAAAGAGGTCTGCTCAGAGCCAGTACGTGGGTGAAATGAAACCAGGCCAAGTGGAAGGGCACTAGCCTGAAGAATCAAGACACCTGGCTTCTAGTCCCAGTTCTGACCCTTGGCCATTTTCCCTCTCCAGGTCTCAGAGTTCTCATTTGCAACAAGAAGGACTTGAATCAGATGGTCTGTAATGCCCCCAACAGTACTATGATTCCAGTTTAGTAATACTAGTAACAGCTAACATTTATAAAGCGTTTACTATGTGCCAGGTACTATGCTAGGTACTTTACAATTATCTCATTTGATCCTCACAAGCCTTGGGAGGTTGGTGTTATTGTCCCCATTTTACAGATGAGGAAACTGAGGCAAATAGTTTAAGTGGCTTAACCAGGGTCACACAGCTAGTAAGTGTCTGAGGTCAGATTTGAACTCAGGAAGATGAGTCTTCCTGACCCAAGACCCAGCGCTCTATCCACCACACCACCTAGCTGCCTCTCAAAAACAGATGTCTACAGCCAGATTTTAACTCTAGTCTTCCTGATTCCAGGCCTAGTAGCAAGTTATCCATTGTACCACCGAGCTGCCTCAAGAAAAGTTACCAAGAGTTTGGTAACTTCAGGATGTTAAAATCTATTTCCCTAAGCAGATGATGGAGAGGCAGTCCAAATATATGCTGGGGGAGGGTCACAGTGGAAGACTGCATTGGATTTCACTGTTCATCGCCTTGTGGATAAGAGAATGATCCCATGTATGTACCATCTGCTGATGAGCTGAAGGCCTCCCTGCCCTCCCACCCCCAAGCCCTGTCCTACATACAGTGCTTCATCTCCTTCTTGAAGGCCTTGTGGCTGCTCAGCTGGTCCAGGAAGGTCTGTCCAGCCTTCTGCAAGCTCTCAGAACCCTTCTTGGTCAGGAACCAGCCAAAGTAGAGTGGCAGAAAGTCCTTCTCCACACCAGGTTTCAGCTTCTTCAGATCATCAGCAGAGAGCTGCCACTGGCTCTTCTCCTTAAGCAGGGTGCAGTCCAGCCGCCAGGATGTCTTAGGCTCCACCAGCACTACCAGGTACTGGTACCGGTCAGCAACGTCAAAGATCTTCTCCAGGCGGTCGCGCTCATGGTGGGTGTCATCCAGTACCAGGACACTAATGTCGCGGCGGCAGCAGATGTCCAGGTCCTCATCGAGCTGCTTGTATTCCTCGTGGTAGGCAGCCTGCGAGCCTGGATTTATCTTGTAGGCGTCGGCAGACACCATCTTGGTGCCATCAGGATACCTATCCACAATGGCCTGGGCCAGCGTGGACTTCCCACTGCCTGGCAGCCCCCGGAGGACGAAGAGAGTCTTGCACTCACGGATTGTCTTCACAGTCTCCTCCTCAGTCAGGAATGGGAACTGGAGTTCAGGCTTGTCCTTGGCAGCTGAGGAGGACATCTTGCGGAAGAAAATCTTAGGCAAGAATGTGTGACTTTTCCGAGAGAAACCTCTGTTCTGCGGGACCAGGGCAAAGAGAAGGGAAGAATCAGGACGTCAGTCTCTTGGCAGATCCCAGAGCTGATGACATCACTGATTACATCAGGGCAGTCAACAGGCTCACTCTCATCCCCCACCTCTTTCCATCAACCACCAAAGTTTTAGAACCTGGTTATTGTAACTGCCCTCATCCCCTCTCCCTTTCAGCAGCAGTAACAGACCCCAGTTGAGGGAGCTATGCTTGGGACTCCTCTCCCATAACCAAATCCTGGAATTCCTAAGTCAAGCTCCTTCCCCGTTTAGTGAGCTTTAGGGAACCACTTCCTCCCCTACACTTCAATTGCTGCCTCCTGTAAGATAAGACTAGACTAGCTGGTCCCTAAGGGCCTTTTGAGCTCTGATACTATAAGATGTCTGTTACTGTAACTAACCTGCCCATGAACGAGAGTTGTTCCTCACACAAGCACACAAAATAACACCCTTTTACTGCCTGGGCAGATAAGCCAGAACCCATAAGAACAAGTTTGGGACAGTTTCTTCTTGTGCCTCAGGGAGATAACCTTATATCCTAACATACTGTTCCCCGTTGCTCTGAGGAGCAAATAACAGACTCCTCTATTGGACCTTCACGTTCTTATCTTTCTAAGCTAAGTATAAATCACTTTTCCCTTCCCATACACCTAATGCTAGCCAAAATGGCTTACCCCACACACAGGAATTCATCTCCTGCCTCTGTGCTTTTGCACAGCTTGTGCCCCATATCTGGAATGTTCCTCCTAACTTCCACCTCTTGGAACCCCTAGCTCCTTTAAAGGCTCAACTTAAGTGCTAGCTCAGTGCCACTTCCTTTCTTGTTTTCCCTACTTGTTAATGCTGCCCAAACCCCACCCCGCTCATTACTGTAAAATACTGTAAAAAAAATTTTTTTAAATTCTAAAATGTAGATCCTGTATTTATCTGAAAATATGTTGTGTCCTCCAAGTAGACTGTAAGCTCCTTGAGGGGAGAGACTGTCTCACTTTTTTCTTTACATCCCCAGTACCCAGAACAGTTTCTGGAACATAGAAGGCACTCAATAAATGCTTGTTTGATAGATAGACTTGATGTCTTTTTTTTGGTGGAAGGAGCAGTGATCACTCTTAAGGCACACTTATCATCTCTTCCTTAGGATTCCTGGGTACCTTCCCACTTCCTGTGTGGCTAGCTTGGGGAAAGAGTGTGAATGATCTCTCCTGGCTCTCCCGTCTTTTGCTCTGAGGGTAGACCAGCTGGTCTCCAGGTGAGACTGCTCTTACCATACTTCCCTTTGAGTAGACAGAGCACAGCAAAATGTCAGCCCTGCTCAGACAGTACAAGGGCAGAATGAACACCTTTTATCGGAATTCCAGCTCATGCTTTTAGGTTCTAGCTTTTCATTTCTTAGGAAATTCAATTCTGTAAACATTTATGGAGCACTTACTATGTATTTACAATGACTGCCTTCAAAGGAGCTTACCATACAGTACAATACTATACAATAAGGGGAGTAAGACACACAAATAATTAGGGGAAGATGGTGGCTATGCAATGGAGCAATCTAGGCAAAGGGCTATGAGAAATCTGAGAAAGGAGAGGTCACCATCACCTGGGGAAGATCAGAGAAATCTTCATGGAGGAGGCCGAACTTGAGTTAGGCCTCTGAGAAATGGCCTGGTGGAGCTTAGGGCAAGGAAGGGCATTACAAGGGTTTGGGGGTCCCAGTTCTCCACCAGCCCTTTACCCATCTTCACATCCCTCTCACCTGTGGGGCTCCTAGGGCTCATCCTGACCTCTTATGCCTTCTCTATTAAGGTGGAATGTTACATACGTTGTCACACAGTAACTGTTAATCCTTGTTTTGGGTTTGGCGTTTTTTAATTGTTTTATTACAAAAGACGTTTCGTTGAAATAGGGGGAGGGCAGAATTACCGAAATGACATGTAAAAACAAGTTATCAGTAAAACTTTTTAAAAGTTCCCCACCCTGCCCATTTAAAGAGTTCACTTTTGGGGATCTTCGGTTTTTTGTGGCAAAACCAGTGGGGAGCAGGGGGGAGAAGTGTTTGTAAAAGGCCACCCCTCCTTGGAACTGTCAGTCAGAAGAAGATAATACTCTCTTGTCTAGAATGGGGGGTGGGGGCACAATAGCCCCACAGAGGAGTTGGTGGGGAAGGGAGGGGAGGGGGAACTGGAGTTGCTTGGACAATTGGCTCCTTTCACTACCACTACAGCGGCCACCTCCTCCTCCTCTGCCCTCTTCCCCCGACAAAGTCGTGGTCTGTGCGCCTTCCCTAGAACGGGTGGCACAGGGCACCTAGGGTTCTGGGTCCAGCCCCGCATCTGAATTTCGCTATGCGGTTTGCACCTCAGTTCTTGTTTTTCCCCAGCTGCTAAATGGTAGGTATAAGAACAAAAGCTGCTGAAACCCATACGGACCTACGCTGCTCCGGCACCTCCTCCTCCTCCCCTCGCCAACGGCTAATTTGCTAACTCCCAAGCCCCAAAGAAAATGATTTGCCAAGCAAGCAGTGGAGCTGGGACTTAAACCCAGTACTCCTCCGGCCCAAACCTTGTGGGTGGGGATACGCAGGAAGGTCTCTAATCCTGGACAATAACAGTTTCGGGCAAGCTCCCGCCTGAACACTTCTGGGAAGGAGCATCGAGCTGGCCCCAGGTTGACCCGAGTTTGTGCCCACTCCCAACAGGACGTCTTGCGCACGCTTCAAAGGGCTGCAGATTGCTTTGTTTGAACCTTGCAATACCCTCGTGAAGCGGGTATTACAATAACCCATTTGACAGATGCGGAAATAGTTTCTGAACCCAGGTATCTCACAACTCGGAGTCTGGCATGTTTCCCCGCACTTCCACCCTAGACCTCAGAAGTGAATCATCCATCCCGGGGAAGGCAGGAGCTGGAAGTGCTGGGGAGAAGAGTGCCCATCACCCCTCCCCTCCCCCAGGGTAGAAAACAACAGGTTTGCATCCACTTAAGTTTCTGGGTGTGCCCTCAGAGCCAGCACCTTCCCCAACCCTTGAACCCCACCCCACTCACCATGATGAGGAGGGGACGCAGCTCCGCCTCAGCAAGGGCTCTATTCGCGGCCCCTGCAGCTGAGTGAAACGCAGCGACCCCCGGCCCCAAGGGGTTTTACATAGTCAGGGGTAGGAGGGCGGGGCCATGTGGTCTTAGGCCGCGCTACCCAGCCCGGTCCCTCGCGCGCCTGCGCACAGGCCTATTCCGCTCACCAGTCCCGGGAAGCGAAACTGATTTAGGCACCACCCACTCCGGACTGCACATGCGCGTGGTGGCTCTGAATGGTGTCGCGTACCCCAGCCCTGCACCTGTTGGCCCAGGTCTCTCCCGAGCAGTTGGGCAGGGGCGGATCAATCTCCAGGTCTAACCCTTCTGCTTTAATAATTAACGAATTAAATAGAGAAGCAATCAGGAAACCCCAGGTGCGCCGGCACTTCCTCCACTAAGAGCCGTGTCTGCGGGGAGCTCGGGTCACCTGGCCAAGCTGGGGATGCAGGAAGGGGCTCTTATGCTGGGGGCCCTTAGGAAAAACATTTGCATAGTTATTACCGGAGGATTGGTTTCCTTTGTAATCCTGGTATTTTATTTTATGCATTGACGTTATGCTGAAAAGGGGTCCATAGGCTTCACCAGACTGCCAGAAGTAGTTCATGGTCCAAAAAGCAACAGGATGATGAAAGGAAGCAGGTCACCTCTGGTCCTGACAAAACTTCCACTCCGGGGTTTCAGAAGCAGTGGGACAGGCCTCTAAAAGCCTGTGCCTGATCTTTCTGCCTTTTCTTCCCTCAAGCCAGGTTCCCTCCGGATCTATTCCCCGTCCTCCCGACTAAAATGATCAGCTATTATAATCTCAACTCATTTGTGAAGATCCATTTATTCCTTCTTTAAACAAACGTTTATTACGTGTATACTCTTCTAAGAGTGATACAAAGCTTACATAAAAGGGATCCGTGCCCTCGTGGAGCTTACAGCCTTACAGGGGGATTAGATACAGACATGATGCATACTACTACATGATAATGAGTTATAAAAATGATAGGTAATGTGGGAAGCAAAGGGTCTCTGTTGATGGATGGATGGGATCTAGGACAGCTTCATAAAGGAGGAGGCATTTGAAATAGACTTTATAAAGAATACTTAGGAATCCAGAAAGTGAAATGAGGGCATTTCTGGTTTAGAGAAGGGTTTAAAGGACAGGGCAGGAAGCTCAGCACATGGAATATTTAGATTACAGAGACAGGTAGGGTGGTGCCTGTTCAAAGTCACTGAGTCAATGCTAGCTGCCCAGAGGGAAATACTTCTTGTAACCATAACCTTCTCTTAGAAGGTGGCCCCAGCTAGGCAGAGCTTAAGTTTTCTTAGTTCTCTCAGCTGTAGACTCCTTCTGGGGATGGTCATCTTCTGTGAGAACGTAGCTGCAAAGAGCTCCTGCCTCTGGGTAAGTGGCACAGACTCAGGGACTTGAACTTCTGAGGCAGCTGTTAGGGCTAGAAATGTCCATTTCTTAGCATTGTTTGAAGATCAAAGCTCAAGGAAAGAAACTAGATGGAAGAGGCAACCAGGGTTTTGAGCTCCAGTCTCAGGCTTGTCTAGGTAAGTATAAGTCCTTGCTGCCATATTCATGCTGTCCCTATTGGGGAATGGGACAGGAGAGTGGTAGGGAGGAGGGGATTTCTTTTCTTCCCTTGCTAGAAGTTCAAGGAAGAACTGTTGTTGAAACTGTCCCAACAAAATAGAACAGAAACAATGTCTCCTTGCTCCTTATAGCCAAGAGTAAGAAGCAGTTCCTGGCTCAGTCACCAAACTTGTATGGCACAATCTTCCCCTTTCTCCCCTCCGCGATCCTTCCCAGGGACCAAGGAACCAAGAGCCTCTGGTCCTTCATGTCCTTTAACAAGGGGCCAGAGTTTATATCACTACCTATGGAGTGAAAGCCCACAAGTTCAGCTACATACTCTAACCAATCCCCTGATAAAACTGGATATGAGTGATCAAGGAAAGAGTCTCACAGATAATCCCAAAGATAAACACATGTCCAGATAATTCATGGTGTCATATACAGAGAGTGAAGTCAGGAGGAGGAATGAGTTATAGACAAATTTTGATCCCACTTTCAAAACACTTCATTCTCATTCCCCCAAATCCATCTTGTCTCCTAACTCCCCTATTTCTGCTAAGAGTATCTCCATCCTTCCAGTCACCCAGAATCACTATCCGAGAGTCTTCTTGACTCTTCTCTTGCTCTCACCTCCTATATCCAATCAGTTACACAATAACTTTTGGGTCCAGCATCTCTTTACTCCCATGGCCACCAGCCTGGTTCAGGCCCCTATCACCTTTTCCCTGGACTATTCCTATCACTTCCTAATTGATGCTAATCGATTACCCTGCTCTAAGTCTCTCCCCTCTCCAATCCACCGTCCACACAGCTGTCAAATTAATATTCCTAAAATAGCAGGCCTGGTCATATCATTCTCCTGGTAAAGAAGTTTCAGTGGCTGCCTCTTGCCTCTGAGATCAAATGCTTGGCATTTAAAGTTCATCACAATCATGAATCTGCCTCTCACTCATTCATGACTGTCCCTCATGCTAAGCGGCTCTCCAGCCTACTTTTCATCCCCTGTCCATCATACCCCATCTCCTACCCCTAGGCCTTTACAGAGGCAATCTCCCTTGCCTAGTGTCCACTCCCTCCTCACTTCTGCCCCTTGGAACCCGTGTCTCTCTTCAAGGATAAGTGCAGCTGCCACCTCCTCCATGAGGCCTTTCCTGAGCTCCCCAGTGCATTCTACCCCTCTGAAATCACTTTGTATACATTTGCATTCATGTTATTCCCTCAGCTTACTGAGAGTAGGGGCATTTTTTTTTTTTTACTTTGTATCCTCAGCACCTAGCACAGTCCCTTAAACAAATATTTAATTCTTGTTGAATTGAGTAAAAGGAATAAGAATGGTAGTTGATGTGGTGATGAAGAAGATCCCCAAACTGAAGAGTGTAAAGAGAGAAGAGGGCCATTTTCTCATTTATAAAATGAGGGTTTGGATTAGACCAGGCACGTACAACCTGAGGGCTGCTTATAGCCTGAGGGCTTGCAGCAGGCCAAAGGATTCTGGGTGGCTGAGCCACGTGTCATGTGTAGGCCTGGATTAGACAGTCTCTAACATCTCACTTTTAAAACCAATGATCCCATGACAAAACAGGAAAATGATAAATGCTGGAGAAGATGTGGGGAAATTGGAACACTAATG